TCACCTGTATGAGGATATTCAAAGTGCTCAATTGTAATTAATGCTTGGTGCATTGTAAAATTTTCTGTAAGCCAGTGAGAAGTTATACCAATAAATAGAATATAATTATGTATCTACAAATCTGTTGTAATTCACTCTGATATTATAGTTTTATTTATTAAGTTTTCTAAATTTGACTGTATATATATTACTGACTCTGCAATTTTGTTTTTAATAGTATTTGTATAAGGAACTTCAAATCAAGAACTAACTTCATAACAAAAATCTCTAAATCGATCATGGTTAATATAGTTTAAAGGCATCATTGATTTAACTAACCAGGATACTAAATAATAAATAGCACGAATTTGCTTTTTTTCAGCAAATGGTTGTATATTTTCTAATATAGAATTAATTGTTTGTGGTTTTTTAATGCCTTCAACTAGAGATATTACAGGTGCATCAAGTTTTTGGTCTTTATAAATTCTATATACTATATGCAAATATGAAGCGATATTGGTAACTACAGTACGGGGCTTAAATTCAGTATTGCATTTTTCTAAACTACCATTACTCTTATCTACTTCAACATCGTAGTATTTAAACTTCGTAATTTTATCTTTTTTTGTGTATTTCCATACCCAGCTTTTAACAGTTTTATTTTTTCTATAAATAGGCACTACTTTTTTTCTCTTTGTAGGTATTTGTTAAGAAGTAGTAGCTGCAGAGAATGAGGACACATTCATTGAATTTCTTAAGATTATATTATCATCATTAAACTCATTTGAGTTATAATCATATAACTCTTCTAGGCTAGAATTATCATCTGACTCCTCTGGACTGGAATCTTTATTCATTGTAGCACTTTTATATAATACAAAACTGTCAAGTGAAGTTTGTTCTGCCATCGAAGAAATATTATTATTAAGAGGTTTGAACAGAGTTAACTATAACTGATAAAAATATTGCAACTACAGTATATTGCTACGAATATAGCATAAAAGAAGAAAAAATTTCTATTTGAAATATATAATTTTGATGAGCAAAGTATGTGAAAAATATATTAGCAAAGGCTTTTGGAATTATTGCTACTCAACAAGGCTTTATTAATTTACATTTACTCTTTTTATAGTAGTTTAAATCCATTTTTCGTTAAAAGAGAGATTTTATTGCCTCTTATCTCGTCTAATCTAATTCTTAAACAATAGGCTAATTCTTCAATACTTTGAGGCTATTGAAACACAACAATCTCTATGTTAATATCTACATATTTACACTACAATATTATCAAAATAGCATAGAACAATTTGGACAAGTAATAGTTTTTTTTTTAAGGAGAGCGAAAAAGATAAGTACAGTAGTTTATAGATAATTTCATACATCTATACATTTACAAGTTACTAATTAATCAATTTTAGTAATTTTATTAGTTTTTGCTTTACTCTTCCCATCTTTAATTATTCTTAAATTCCAATAGGTTAGTTTTCTATTTTCCTTTTCTGTTTTTTATCCTTATTAATAACTTCTTTTTTTACCTTTTTTCTAAACACAATTCCTTCTATGTATTATTTTATTATTCTATTCTGAAACCTGGGCTTTTTATTCTGACTATTCCCAATTTGACTACATACATAAGTCATTCGACTTTTGTTTGTTAAATCGATTATGCATGTTTCATTCAGTTTGATTGCATGTATCAATCGGGTATAGGCATGATTGTTAATTATACTTCTTTTCAAGTTATAGTTTTATGGATAACGTTTATTTTTACCTGTGACACTATCAATAAAAAATGTTTTTTTTAATCTCACAAATCTTTTTTTTTAATCTTATGAATCTTTTTTTTTTTTAATCTCATGAATCTTTCTTTTTTTTTTTAATCTTACGAATCTTTCTTTTTAATCTTATAAATCTTTTTTTTTTTTTTAATCTCACGAATTTTTTTTTTTAATCACGAAACTTTTTTTTTTTTTTTACTTTTATTCCTTAATATTTATATATTTACACAACCTCATTTGAATTTCTTTATTTTTGAGTATAGTATTAATTATATATGTTTTTAGGTTAGTAATTTTAAATTACATCAATAATCATATTATTTAATATTATAATAAGATAAAGTTCGAAAAATTTAGCATATTTTAGAAAAAACATTCTTGACTATATAAATTTACATGCTAATACATTAAAATTTTAAATATATACAAATTTCTAGCACTATATTTTCTGATCTAAGATATCTTAAAAAATAATAAGTATTTTTTATATTTTCTTTAATTTTATATTCAGGTTAATTTATTTATTTGGACTTTATTAATCATAAAATTTATTTAGAACACTAACTATATAAACTAATTTATATAATAATATTGATAATTGCATGCTTTGGCAAGAAAATTCAAATATATAGTGATTTAAGTTTGCTTACAATAATTCTTATAAATTAGCTTTGATTTTTAAAATTTTCAGGACCTGTTCTAGTTGCAAAAATACTATTCCTGATGGATCGTCAGTACTGTTCCTGATGGGATGGAAAAAAAACCAATTTATATACCGTTCCTGATAGGGTTCTAAAAACTAAACAACTATTGAAATATAAGCTATTGCATAAAAATTTGGCAGTCCGC